TTCAAAAATTTAACGCGGTTATGTGGCTGTTTGGCATATACGTAACTTTGCTTCTAGGCGTTCTGTAATGCTCATTCTATAGAGTCATGTCACATGGCTATCAACGGCATTTAACAATTGATAATATTAAACAAACACTGTTAGAACTCCACACTCAGAATGATTAGCGCTTGTACAAAGCCCATAAATTTCCACAAATCTATGAGAAGCTACTAGCAGATTGATTCAAGTTAGAAGAGGAGTACAATCCTGTTTCTGCCATATTTTGCAACTAGTTCACATTTCAAACTATCGATTTGCTTAGATTTAATCGATTTAATCCTTAATATAATAGACTTTTCCCCGCTTGATCTGAGTAACATTATTGGTGTTTCAATCACACTAATCTTAGAATTTCAGAAAATTGTACAAAAGTCATTACTAAATGAAATTTTGTAGCTTTTCAAATGTGGTCATAATCATGGCATGCATCATGCAAAGAGTTTCATTACACAGCAAAAAAAAAAAATATATATATATATGTACATTACCTCTTAAAGCTTATTAAAGGTTATCAACCAATTCATTATTCGCACCAGAACGCGAGAAAGTTGGGTAACACCTAAAATATCTTTTTTATTTGACTGTAAGCTCGAGCGCGGGTATGCGCGTGTCTGTAAGAACACACCAATTTGTTGCATTATTCCGAAAAGAGAAGCGTAGGGTTTTTGGATCTGAAGTGCGCGACCTGTTTTGATTATATGTGCCAAATGCGCCTACAAATAGTCTAATCATAGCTTCTGTTCGACTCAGCCCTGTAATTAACCTACTTTGAGTTACCAATCTGGAAATGCAAAAATCAGCTATTCCGAAAGTTACGGAGCCCATTCACTGTATAAATGAGTCAGAAACGAACCATTTTGTTCACTACTCTGAAAATGTTAAAGGTGTATTGTTTCGGAACCTAGTTGTATCGTTTGGGGCTAATCAGAAGCTATAGTTTTGTCCTTAACCAAAATTCCAGTTAAATGGATGAAAGCTTATAGGCGCACTTGCTTGTTCTTCGTAGCTAGCTTAGTTCCCTCCAATTCATATTCATTTTCTTTGATATCCTATAAGCCTATAAGCTTTCATCCATTTAACTGGAATCCTATCATACAATCCAAGAACTTTTGGGCTATTTTTTGAAAATCATATCACTCTCCCGTCACCTTCCCTTGTTGTTTGTTGGCAACAGGCAACTAAAGTTCCTACTTCTCTTCGGCTTGAAGCTCAACCCTCGACCTCGGCAAGAGATTTCCAATTGGACCTTGCAAAAACGAAGCTCTTGGAAAATCAAATTAAGAACTTTTTATAAACTGTAGAAAGGTGTGCAAACAGGAGTGGTGCCGCAGAGCTGTTTGCTTGGAGCGCGTTTTTTTCGCTAAGGTAACGATTTAGGGCCCGAACAGGAAGGGAGGAGTCGGTTTGATTGTTACTGTTTTATGACTGGAAGAAGAGGTGCTTATAAAGCAATTTATGTAGAAGGAGCAAAATTATGAGAAATAAAAGAATGTTTGCTGATCGGAGACATTAGGTCTCCCATAGGTCTCCACTGAAGGGCTAAATCACAAAAAGGTGCGACAATTTTTTATTCTCATCGGTTTCAAGATTTTGCACACAATGTTTAAACTCCTTGCTGCGCTCTTCTCCCCAAATTTAGGTCGTTCATTGGCTATTTGCTCAGAAAGACGATTTTGAGTAAAGTGAATTGGGAGTATGTATTTATTTCCCGCGCAAATGCGCAGTTAAATCTTCAGACTTATGGGCATTTAATTATATGGTAGCGGTTATCGGAGATGATTGTAATATGAATATTGGGGAAGGCTAGAACGGAAGGAGAAGTTACAGTCCTTCAGGTCTCCGGATCCAGTACAATTCGCGTTTGTTCTTCTTCCCAAAAACGATTTCCAGCTTGCCTTGGAAGACTTGCCGCCAAGGCCTGGCTTAACTTCGATATTCTCCAAGCAGAAATGCCTTCGTATCACTTTACGTATACGTCGCAAAATTACCCTTGACTCCTGATGAACGTTCAAATGATGACTCTTTTACGAAATTTAGAGAACTTTGATGCTATGCGCTAAAGGGTTAAATTAACATTGTCTAAGACTTTACAGCAGATTTAGGAAAATCCTTTTACATTGTGTAAGGATTCAC